ATTCCAGGTGAGGCCTTACTAGGGCCTGATTCAGTGGCATTCATCCTTTCTTGTCTGTGCTGGATAATGCTTCATCCCATGCCACCTGGGACCCCATTGACCTGTTCTACTACCACAGCATAGTGGTGGCTCATAGTCACCCCTTGATTTGGTAATGTGCCGCAGCCCCTTTGCTTTTTTTATCTGTGATACAGAAGAAAATTTACCATTGTTAACTTGTTCCAGGCTTTTATGACTACTACTGAAGAAAACCAAAAGACCTCTCCCATGACTTACATTGTTCTTTGTCTAGCTTCCATTCTGCCATTTGCTCCTGTTCTGCTGGCTGGATTCAGAGTATAAAGAGTGCACTGGAAGTCTCCTTTTGTCTTGCTGGTAGTTTTTTTTTAAAAAAAAAAAAAAATAAAAAAAAAAAAAAAAGATAAAAGTTAATTCAAGAGGAAAGCCTAAATTAAAAGGTGGCAGCCTGAGTGTTAATAAACATGTTTATTAACAAGATTAATCTTACCTGGTTGACTAGATATTTTACAAGTTTAAGAAAACTAACTTTGTAACAGTCTGACATTTCAAATGTCTGACAAAAGAGCAGGTATTTTACAACATTTTAATTAAACACTATAGCATGAGCTAAATACAAATTGATTAGGAATAGCTGACAAACAGATCTCAAAGTATCATCAACAGAAATATCATCAAATTAAAGCTTTTTTTCCTTGGGGGGGAAAAAAAACTAATAGGAATCTGATTTAGGCCCAGTGTACATCTTTAATGATTTGAATTTTTTTGAAGTAGGAATAGAAATGTGCAGATAACAGACTATGATCAGGCTTCAGTCTTTTATGATAATTCTCTTCTTATAGATCATGACTATTTAAGGAACTTGAATGGTTTTCTAGCAAGGTGACAAGTGCATCTTTAGGTTATTACTTCATGTCTGGACTCTTTCTATGAATGGAATATACCATTTTGCAGAGTAATAGCTTTCAGCTAGGTGCATCTGTGTCGGGCTTTCTCAGTCGATCCTTTGACAACACTGGCCTTCAGGGTGAATTATTTGGAAAATCTGGGCAAATTAGAATGGGCTTTTTGCAGAAGCAACCTCAACATCCGAAAACCTTACCACATGATTCCATCAGTAGACCTTCCTAGGTTTGCTGTCCTAAATTAGGTCCAAGAACTGTACTGATCTCATTAAGATCCTGGCACAGAACTGTGATAATGGCCTGAAAGCCGCAAGAAGTCTAAACCTGTCCAACTTTGTCTTTGTTCATGCTAGAGTCTATATGTTTAGGTATACCAGTACTGAATAATAATCATACTGATAGCTGTGGTTGTGTCAAGGAGAGGCTCATATATATCTTGATGAGTGGGAGTAATTTACCTAGTACCAGAATTAGTAAAAAAGGGACAGAACTGAGCAGCTGAGATGCTTTGTTACCTTTACTTATCTGGGGCATCAAGCTATTTGGGTGCAGCTGCAGAAACTGTTGAATAGCTCTGTCTTGGTGTCAACTGTCACAGGAGGCTTCAGGTTTTAGTGAAGACATCCCCAAAATCTTTTTGCCCGAGTGTGCAGGAGCTTACTTACAGTCTGGCCCTGAGCAGCAAAGTTAACGTTTTGCTTTTCACCAGTGCTGCTCCCTTTAGGGATTAGAAAAGACTGATAGTCTGTTCTAGATAGGCTTTCACGTTTTGACTCTTCATCATAGGTCATTGGTTTCTTATTACCCAAGTGGTTAGAAACCTCTAGCTCTCACAAGACTGTGGGCCTCCCCTGGAAACCAAAAGGCATTTAAGAGGATACAGCGTAAACTCAGGTGAGGAGGCACCTTGGAGAGGTGCCTGAGGACTAGAAGAAAGCCGATGTCATTCCAGCCTTCAAAAAGAGCAAGGAGGACCTGGGGAACTACAGGCCTGTCAGCCTCCCCTCCATCCCTGCAAAGGTGAAGAAAAGGCTCCTCCTGGAGGTCATCACTAAGCATCTGGAGGACAAGAAGGTGATCAGGAGTAGTCAGCATGGATTCACCAAAGGGAAATCATGCTTGACCAATCTGATAGCTTTCTAGGATGGGACAACTGGCTGGGTAGATGAGGGCAGAGCAGTGGATGTTGTCTCCCTGGACCTTCAGCAAGGCTTTTGACACTGTCTCCCATCACATCCTCCTAGGCAAGCTCAGAGGGCTGTGCTCAATAGCACAGAGTCTAGTTGGAGGCCTGTGGCTAGTGGTGTCCCCCAGGGGTCAGTCCTGGCTCCAGTCTTGTTCAATGTATTCATCCATGACCTGGAGGAAGGGACAGAGTGCACCCTCAGCAAGTTTGCTGAGGATACTAAACTGGGAGGACTGGCTGATACCCCAGAGGGCTGAGCTGCCATTCAGAAGGACCTGGACAGGCTGGAGAGCTGGGCCGAGAGGAACCTCATGAAATTCAACAAAGGCCTGCTCCTGGGGATGGATAAGCCTCATGCACCAGGACAGGCTGGGGGGCTTTTCTCTTGTATGAGGAAAGGCTGAGAAAGCTGAGATTCTTCAGCCTGGAGAAGAGAAACCTGGGGGAGTTGGGGGGGAAATCTCTTCCATGTGTAGAAGTATCTGAAGGGAAGGTGTCAAGAGGATGGGGACAGACTCTTCGTGGTGCCCAGCGATAGGTCGAGAGGCAATGGGCACGAACTGAAACACAGGAAGTTCTGTCTAAACATGAGGAAAAACTTCTTGACTGTGAGGGCACATAGTACTATCCTGCTCTGAGTGCCTGAGCACTGGAACAGGTTGCCCAGAGATGTGGAATCTCCTTCCCTGGAGAAATTCAGAAGTTGTCTGGACACAATTCTGGGTAATATGCTCTAGGTGACCCTCCTTGTGCAGGGTGGTTGGACTCGATGATTTCCAGAGGTTCCAACCTCAACCATTATGTTCTGTGAGTCCATGAGAAAAATGCTGCACCATAGAAGACTGGTACCAGCTGTGCAAGATTGAATTAGGTGCCTGAGGACTAGAAGAAAGCCAATGTCACGCCAGTCTTCAAAAAGGGCAAGGAGGAGGAGCCA